ATCATAAGATAGTGGTTTGTGCTCTCCCTATCTATCCCTCTTATAACCGACCAATTCAAAGAACCTGCAATTATAGAGACTATAAGCATGCAGACTGGAACCTCTTGCGCTCACTGATCAAACTCTCAGACTGGGATGAATTCTTCTCATGTAATAGTCTGACAGATGCCATCAACATATTCTATTTCATTGTTATTTCTTGTCTAGACTCCTGTGCGCCAATTAAGACTTACAGGATTAGTAAACATTACGAATTATATATACCAGCTAAATATGGCATTAAAGTAAGACGCCTACAGAAACGTTATTTTAAATCTGACGACTTCATGGCAGTTACACAAATAACAATAATTTTTAACCAAATTAGAGAGAAACATAGGTGAAAAGCCATTAATGAAGAGCTATTAGCACTACGTACTAGAAAAACCTAATCCACATTTACAATAAACGTGCTAAATCAACTCAAAATGTTGATATACCATGCATCCTGCATAAAAACAGTTTTATATATGACACTAAAACTATAGCAGACCTTTTCAGTGGTAATTTTGCAAATGGCTAAGAATCCATAAATGGCTCTGTTTCAAGAGTTATATGCATGACTGATAACTCAATGAAATCTATCTCCTTCACATGTATGAAAATTAGTAAGGCCTTACATAACCTCAAGGTTTCGAGAGGTCATGAAGCAGACGGGATGTCATCATTTCCTTACAAATATGGTGGTCCAGATATCCAACTTCTTCTCCTTAAGCTGTTTACTCTCTCTATGGAATCAGGCACTTACCCTGACCGTTGGAATACCGAGTAAATCATACCACGTTACAAATCTGGAGATAAGACTGACATGAACAACTGTCGTCCGATAAATATTACTCCCGTTATCTCTAGGATTATGGAAGAAATTATTAGTGACGAACTATCCAACTATTTATTAAAGTGAAAATTCCCATTTTGACATTTGTTAATTAAAAAAGGAACGAATCGAGCGAAGAAATTTCTTTTCAATTAGTTTTTCATCATGGCTCTACACTAATATATATATGATTTACAATAATTAAATAACACTCATGGAGTAGATACGTTACGTAATGATTATATAATGACATCGATTATAAACTAACATTAATTGGAAGAGAAGGATTAATACTAATCAAAGTTATTATTCGAAAATCAAGCTGTTGCTACGTTGCATAATATATAAAAAAGAGAAGTAAGGACTAATAAAATATTTTGATGAATGGTCAGTAATATAGTAATTATGTAAGAATCAAGAGACGAATGAAGAGAATAAGTAAAATACAAAATACAAAAAATGGAAGGAATAAGATAATTGTTTACCGAAATTATGCTACAAATTCCGCTATACCGATGGCCAAGGTAGCGAGAGTGGTTGTACAAACTTCTTTTGGATACATAGGTTCGGTTTGTAGATATGAATTGCGATGGCTTCAGCTATGTGCAATAGACGAGCTCGTAAACCATGTGGTAAATTTGATGGAATATAGTAGATAACCTTAAAAGCTTTATTCAGTTCAACATGATTACCTGTGTCCACCAAGTGAGCGAGAATAGAACTCTTAATCCCCTTTATCAGTCCTTTAGTCAACCATGACGGATGGTGTTCTGTTATTTATTGACTGAACAATTTATTGATGATTCGCAACATGGACTTCTTAAAAATCGATCCTGTATGACATGTCATTTTGACTTCTATAATTTAGTTTATTCTCTTCGAAGTCAAGGATATCTCGTATTGGTTCTATACCTGGACACTTTAAGGCCTTCGACATGGTCAACCACCAACTTCTCATAGGTAAACTCGCATCTTTTGGGGTCCAAAACCCTTTGCTTGGTTGGTTTGTTTCCTTCCTCAGCAATCGGCATCAAATAGTATCTCGTATTTTAATGTACAAGGTTTGTGTTGCATCAGCACAAAGCTTAGAAAGGTAGCACAGTGGTGCTCGAAATGGCAACTGGAGCTTAATACAGCTTAATGTGGATGGCTATGCTTCGGTGATACATCACTCAACCTCGATCTTACCATAAATGGTGAAGTGTTATCTAGGTTACACAAAGTAGTGGACCTAAGACTAAGGTACTCCTACGACATGTCGTTTACCGAACAGACAATGAAACAAACTTCAAAGTCTCAACGCCTTATAGGTTACATAACTCGGAACCTTCATAACAGCGAATCACGTATTCTATTGTACAAAGTTTGTATTCGACCTCTCCTCGAACACTGCGCGTTTATTCTTAGTAGGATAAATTAAGGCTGGAATCAGTACAGACACGATTCACACTTTGCATTCTTGTGACGTGACATATAATTGTAGGTGTATTAAACTTGAGGTCGACTCTTTATGGAAGAGGAGACTCAAACTAAATCTCATCATCTTCTTCAAAATACTTAACAAACTATCCTTCACATCCAACCAGGCGATACAATATACTGAAACTTCACATGACGACATTCGTAACTCCTTGTCTTTAGCGAACCAAACATGTTCCAGATCTTTTCTCTATATGGATTACTTTATCAGAAAATTTTATCGACTCTGGAATAATTTACCAGCATAAAATCTCTCCCATTATTTGTTCGCTTAATTGACTCACACTGCTCCTCTGAAAATGCATTAAATGCTCTAGCGCCTGTAAGTGTATCTTACTCCGCAAGTGAGATTATAGGAACTTTGAATGTATAACCACCTACTTGCTGTCACTTTACATTAACACTGTCTCCAGTAACTGTAAATACTTTGTATAATATCTAACACAAACAGTCGTAAACCTGATCGGCATATTATGGCAATCATTGTTTTGTTGTTCCGTAGTCTTTGCTTTAATCTTACTTTCCCTGGATCTGGATATTTTTCAATAACTCGTTCTGGCACTGAAAATAACCTTAAAGAAATACGTTCATAAATCATCAGGCTATCCACTTAAGAAAAAAAATTAAAAGATCCATGGTGCATTGGCTTCCCGTGATGTATTCCATATATAAACTACTTATCAATTACTAAACCAGCAAACATAAAACAATCTTAAACTTCATGTTTGTACTATGCATTAAATGTTGCTATTTATATCAATCTGATCATGCCTGTAAGCTGGTGTGAATTCTGTAAATATTGTTTTCAGAATATATATAGTATTGAATCTGCTGATCGTATCATGAAACGCAGATGTTCATTATCAGCAACTAAGACTACTATTCCAGCGCCTTTCGGTTTATGGAATAGCAGTCAACCCAGACAAGTGTGAACTTGGCAAACCGGAAATAAAATTCCTTGGTCACATTATTAAGTTAGGGGACAAAGTACGTGCAATAATGGAGTGAACTGTTCCGCCCACACTCAAAGAACTAAAGGCATTTCTCGGTTTGGTTAACTTCTACCGAAGATTTATCCCACACGTGGCAGAACGGTTACGAGTTAGTAATTAGCAAGTAACTTTCCTGTAGTGGTGATCATAGTCAACCGCAACTCGAAACCCTCTAAAAATGAGAAAGTAGAATGTCAAAGAACACACGGAGTCGAGAATTGGAAGCAGACATGAGAAGGTTGAATAGCAACTAGAAATAACAGGAGAGGATTGTACATGACTCAGCTAGATGGACAATTGTGTTGAGTAGCCTATGCTACTCCACGAAAGGTAATAGGCGTAGGTAAGCAAGCCTTCAGTGATATTTTCAGAGAGTATAGATTCTCACATTAGACTTCTCCTAAAACTGTAGACTGACGGCATTCTATGTAAACAATCATGACACTCGGTCCTAATCGTTTTATTCTTTTTACTCACTGCATATGCAATGACCAAGATCTCTCTTCTTGATTTGTCTCTTACTATCATTGTCTGAATGGTAGTGTATATGATCTTGTCAGTCGATTCTCTTTAATCCTCACGTCTGATCGTATTGTCATCTAATTGCCAAATTAAGAGTGACATCATTTGGGAATAATACCTGTCACAATTATTATCATATATTCTATGCACATCCACATTTTTGAACGTAGACACAGAAAATCACATTGTTGTTGTGAAGAAGGACTGTGGTTGTAAGGCTTTCTCAACAATTTAATCGTTAAACTTATTTCTACAAGTCATTTTGCAAGGCCCAGAAAACCCTATTAAATGTTTGTTACTTGCCAATCGTCAATTAGACACTTGATCCACTGTTTGTAAGTACGTGTCAGTTTGAATGAACACAAGTTTGTTACCTCAATATCTATTCATGCTTCTAATGGTAATAAACACTAACAATCAACACTTTGACTAACATCTGGATCTTGAATGTCATTCAAATACATACAATATGTTTCTCTCAGCGTGTTTGTCCATCGAGTGTTCTGGACACCTAATTATTTGTGGCGACAAACGTATTCCCAAAGCGACTTGTATCTTCACCTTGAGCATTTCTAATTCGATTTGTAACAAATTTTGAAGAATGCGACTACGAATAAACAAGCGGTTAGCAGGTTGATATCGTTCGTAGTTGAACTGATTGGTAATCTTCGACAACGTGGAGTACTGTATTATAGTAATGACAGGAACTAACTATGTTACATTATAAAAACTTGGTGACTCGCAATGGAATCAATAACGCGTTTGGTCCCATTCAGTACTCGTCAGATGTATGTGTCTGTATCCCATAGTTCTGTTCACTACAGGACTCAAACCAACTGCATTTCGCTTCAAACACCATCGCGTCATCCACTTACATACGGAGTCCTGATAGACATCAATCTATGCAATCAAGTGAAGTTCCAATTCATTTTAGCAATGTTTCTTTGATTTTTCTCATTGATATTTCGGACTGTTACCGATCAGTCTCTTATGGGCATATGTGTCTCCTGTTATAATTGCCTCTGATTATTTATAAATCCTCATTCTTACAATCACTCAAAACTATTTTACAATCAATGTGTCATTTATTGCTTAGACTCAAATGAACATGAATCAAGCTAAATGAGAAAGACCAAACAAAACTTTTATCTCATGAACAGTTATTCAGCAATGATGCATACAATAACTGTCCAGTTAAAATCACATCAGAATGAAATGAACTGCGTTAAAAAGAAACCATGAAAGGGAAAGGTTCATCAATTCACTGAACACTATAAACCAATTTGAGTGGATTCACTCGAAACATCATTATTCCAGATGGATTGATAGGAATTGTAAAGTTCTCTTTCAATCCCACGTCTTTGAACTTATCACCAGTGAATACATCCACTAATTCGAACTTATCTCCTGATATCGTGTACATTTGTGATTTGAATTCATCCAGGTTTGTGGTAAAGTTGATCGGTCCTCCATCACTCCTTGTGTAGACGCAAGCGATTGCCCAACCAACTGGACAATCATTTAATTGTCGTATCCACATCTGTACGAAAAGAAATATGAGACCAAATAAAGATATTTTGTTGACATTAAGTACATCAGCAAACGACAATTTTATTTCACCTCGTGATATTTGTTGATAGTGAGAATTCGAAAGAAAATATTGCAGAAGCGAACGGTTGATGTCGTGCGATTTGGAATCTGCATACTGTTTTGAATAATTTCAGATGAATACTCATCTATATTATCAGAAAAGAATGGTCAACAGTATATCTGTGTGGTTTATATTGGGTTGTCTTCTGAAGTGTATGTTGATGACTACGTCCGATTGGCGGTGCATACACTAGCTGATAAAAACTTCGGAGGTCATAGTATACTGTTTTACCTATTGTAGACAATCTACTTGTTCGTAAATCACAATGTCCTGATTCGGACTTTATGTATTTGAAGTTAGTCAGAAGGACAGCCATGAATTCGTCTACAGATTGAACAGTTCAATAATGATATCTCTTGCTGTGACGGTACAAGATGAGAATTCCAATCACACAACGACTAACATTGCCGTCATCATTGCAGATTTGCCTTGAAAATTAGCACAGACGTACACGTGAACTATTTCCGAACCCACTCATTCAATGCCCACAATGACTTATAAGTGGAGATAGTTATTGTGAAGTCCATTTGTTTAGTGTTACAAAAATCCGACCTTCTACTTGTTGTGTTTAAAATTATGTTGCTGAAGTGGCAACAATGTTCAGTGGGACCTCTGTTAGGTTTTTATGACTCTATCAGACAGTTACAAAATTGAAAACGCACTGATCACAATGTCATCACTGTTTATGTCAGTTGTGCAACACAAAAATCAAAACCTAAATAATGTGATACTGAAATGATAACACTTCCACACAACAAGCAATGTTTATTTCTATCCCGACATTGTGAAATACAAAATACTGGACCTTCAACTTACTAGTGAACAATTCTATCATCACAGTAATACACATTTATATTGAAATTATTTAAGTTCAGTGGAAATGTATTGTTGGGATTTCACATCAGAACCAAAAACGTCTAAGCACATTCATAGGAGAATTTAAATCTTAAAACCAGTCTTACTCAAAAACAACTATCGCTTTGCTTGTGTAAAAAGAAAGTTTCGTAGTATCGTGACACGAAGAAGAGTATCTAAACAACTATGTATAAGAATTTCAATCTAATGCAATCAACTCACCTGTACATCATTTCGTGATTTGATGAATTCCGCCTGATGTCCACCTTCATCCTGATCTATCGCCAACAAATGTTTATTGCGTAACAGAGATGCACTGAATTGATCCACCTTGTCCATGTCGGTTGAGATGATTAATGGAGCAGCGAACATACACCACATACCCATATGGACTCGCTTTTGATCATTGGAAAGTCCGTTGTTTCCTAAGACCAACATGTCGGGATCGTTCCATTGTCCTGGACCAGCCACTTTCGGTAAAACATCGTTGCGAACTTTGTATCCATCTATAATACCCATTACAGATGCCCAAGAATTAAAGGAGTTGGGCAGAGAACGAATGAGATTGCAGTTGTTCTGTAGTCTCTTCCAGTCAATCGATTTAGGATTTGCATACCATGAACCATATAAAGGATATGTACACAAAAACATCATTGGTCTACCAGTTCCATTGAGTAGTCGTGAGAACTTTTCGAAACCATCAGGCATCATGTGATCAGGACTGTTACACGAGTTCATCTTCACGTAATCCACTTCCCATTCAGCCAGAGTCTTTGCATCCAATTCGAGAAAGTCCAAACTACCTGGATAACCTGCACATGTTCCAGTTCCATAATCAATAGTTATTCCGAACAGTAGATTTTTCGAATGCAAATATTGTGCAAGGTTTTTCATACCCTGAAATTACAACACATCATGGAGATTACCAAACAGAATTTGTAAATATCAAGTATTTTGTTCACGAATACAGATCAAACGAAAATAATTATTGACTCACACATACACTAATATTCTTTCATATTGGAGGCCTTAGGAACAACAATCATATATATTGTCGTAGTGTGATATTACACAAAATGAATGAGAAAACTATGAACACTTTCCAAACACTACACACATAAACTCACGCTCGGAAATCTCGAAGAATCTGGCAATAGTGCAACCGTCTTCGTATCACGCAGTCTTGATATCCAACAATCATCTATTATCACATATTTATAACCCAGATCTCGCCAACCATCCGAAACCAGTTTATCAGCTGTTCGCTTGATTGCATTTTCATTAAGACAGTTGATTTGAGTGTTGTTGCAGTTTACTTGACATCCAAGATGTCGCCATGTGTTCCACCCCATTGGTGGTGTTCTAGCCAATCCATTATCCAAACACATCACACAGTTTAGAGTGAGGATGGCTACTCCCGAAACTATTGTTAGCACCGTGAACATATTATCTAAATAGAAAAATTGATGAGTTAATAAGTATCAATTAACTGAAGTGTAATTCGATTGAGGTGTATATTATCACCAAACATCGTTTTATCAAAACATAATCAACACATTTACTTTATCGAAATAATATCCTTTGATAGGTGAACTTTGCCGACATGCATGAGATACGCGATCTCCCTTCATTTCACAATGTTAATAATCCGAATCTCGAATTTATGTATGCGAAAACTACAGTAATCAGCAGTCATAATCTCGTCTCTCGTTCAACTTGCGACACTCCAATTAAGCACTTCTACAAATGGTTGAAACTTATACCTATGAACTATTCATTTCCTTACAATTTTCGCATGTTGCACTAAGTGAGAATGTGACTTAAAAAATTTATAACACCTATGGAAGTAATGAATTCAGTGAAAGCGAGCAACCGTGAATTGTCCAATACTCGCCACTTCAGGTTGAACTAGTTATTGAGTAATCGTAATTCAGTCATTCTGAGATTGCAGTTGTCTGGAAAGGTCTCTTAAATCGCACGTCTTCCTGACTGAACAGTCTGTTGTTTATTAAGTTAAGACACCGGAGATCATTGTACAAAAATCATTCCAAATCTTCACTCATCATGTCAAATATCGGTCTCAATAGGGTCATCACCATCTTAAACATACGGTGATCCTATATTCCTAATAGACATACTTATGGTGCGTTTGCATTTTCTTAACACCGTTTTATTTTCAGAGTTGAATTCATGTGTCAATGTAAGCTAGACCATTGTTGAAAGTAACCTCGAAGCATCGGACGACTGTTCTGTCCATATATGGGACTCCCCAACAGTGCTCATACACAACCCCATTCGAAAACATTTTTGTTATTGCTCAATAATTTCAATATCATTATTGTCAATACGTTGTCTACAATAATCCAATCGTGGTAAGCGCACTGAGAACATGGTCGGCAGATTACTGATATATCTATTTCTGAATGAGAAAGTGTCATCATACAGTTTAGTAGAGATTGAAGAAACTACAACCAAAATCACAAAATAATCTCAGACAGACATCACGATCTCAGTCAAGCTGATCGTCTTGTCACCAACTGTGAGGATGGTCCACAGGTGAAGTCGAGGGGCCTCTAGGAAGCCCAGAAGGAGCCCAACATGTTCCATCCAATCAGCTTTTCGAAGAATATTCCAGAATTGCTCCGTGGAGCTTCCCTATTGGACAATGCTGATAACTCCCTGTCTGCGGATTGGATAACTATAATGATGATTTTGTTTCTACTAAAAACTATAAATACCCGATAATTTTGTACCATATTCGACACTGTCAGGAATAACATTCCTTCTACTTGTCTTTTGTCTTTTGATTTGTGACTTGGAGGGTTCCAGCGTTCGACTGCTCAAGTGTTGTGCTATCGACTAAGAATTCTCAGTTCGAGATACAATATCAACATAGCAAACAAAACCTTTTTTATTATAACATTTCAAAACATCCACATCTAGAGTACAAGGAGTAAATATAAAACGTACATTATCATTGACATTCATACAGACTAGAAACAATCAAAGTCCTACAATGTAAAACATCATTGAGTGATCTATTTTCTACAAATATTCATACCGAGATATAACTGCAGACAACAAACCACATTTGAAAATGAAACATTATCAAACCATTATGTATATGTCATCACACAGTTATAATTCAACACTTACATTTCGTTTGAATTACCCAGTTGACTGAATTAAGAACTAACTAGTATTTATACTCTAATGAATATGACCAGATTATAGAAAAGTACTAGAAACGACTGTGAGGGGTTTTATCACTCATTGACAAACCAGAAGGCCACTTTGAAAATACACATTTTGTTGAAGTCAAACAATCATATATGAAAGCGCACACAGATCTCACCATAATACCGAAGCCACTCCACCCTCCATTGCGTTCTCCACTAAATACATAAAAACCAGTTCATAGACACATCGACTGTCCGTCTTCTGATAACCTTATGAGGACAGGAACGGAATATGATGGGTCTTACGATTATTTTTCATAATGGTCATTTGTTTGGGATTAATGGATTATGTACAATGTGTTGTGTGTTTTGTAGTGGGGATTATGATTTCAGATAAGTGGTGTTTAGTTGGTGTGTGTATGCGTGAAGGAGTGAATGTGTCTTTGAGAAACATTTATGGAGGACACTGATTTGCATGTTCTTCTCAATCTACATGAATGGTGTTGCACACTTTGTGTACTGAACACCATGACGTTCAATCAATGACGGTGTTCAACATAATTTGTTTAGCATTTGAGATTCATCGAGCATCATAGAAAGCCATATGAACTGGTCATTCTTAAACGACATAAGATTGAAATCGGTGAGGAAGATGTGTAGGCTCGATGGATGACTGTGATTGAGTTTACTGGTTTCGAGAAAATGTAGTAAAGATGCCAAAGTTATTCGGAGGCTGACAACGCTATACACAGTAACACCTACTATTATTAATCGTACCCACCAACTGAAATCAAAAGACAGAAACGGGGAGATTCGATGATATATTCGGTTGTTTATCAACATATTGTGAATCGACTGATTTAATGTGACTAGCGATTGCAGGGATTGTTGGGTACGTCGTTACTACTCGTGACCTGGTGCGGATGAATGGCCGAACGCCTTCAACTTCATGAGTCCATTAAAACTAATGTGATCAGCATCTAATATCGAACAATCACAGAGCCATTTATTTTGCGAATTTGTTTATCACTACAGTGGTTCAATCGTGAATCGTGTATTGTAGTTTCACGGATCATCATCAGGGAAACGAATCATAAATTCTGTTGATACATTTTCGATGAAACAGAATTAGAGACCGAAGTGTATAGTAATATAAGTTGAATGAAACAACCCTATGTTCAATGTTAATTTCCCATGTTAACATGATAACTGACAAATGTTCGATTGTGTAATATCTGGTCTGAGGAGTGCATTTTTGAGCGGCCTATAGCACGATGAAAGTGACCCCAAGCCCTCGTTCCAGTTTGATCGGCTAGTAATCTTAAAGAACGTAACTTGACTTATTTGTTCAACCTCTCTTAGTATCATTACATTCAATCGAGCTCATCCAATCAATATAAAATCCCGATGATATTTGTCAAGTGTCAAGTTTGACAATTAAACAAACCACATATAAATAAATACCAAAGAGATAAACATTTACAATAATGGATCCTGCAATATTGAATAATGTTTCTTTCATTTTAAAATTTTTTAGTTATTATCGGACTGCAACAATGAAGCTTCAAATTAGACATACGATAGAACAGTGAATGACATATATTTTTATGTTCATATATGACATGTTTGATTCCGGACGACTTAATAGACATTTGAAAAGACTCCAGAAGGTAGACTAAAAACTGACGGAACACTTCCTTGTTTGGACTAGTCAGCTGGAATTACGCGCGTCCTGGACTCCAGTATCACTCACGAACCACCTCTGCTTACAATGCTTTCGACTTAAATCAACATTGATGCAATCTGCACAGGATGTACATATGCCCATAAGAGACTGATCAGTTGCAGTCTGAAATATCAATGAGAAGATTCAAAGAGACAACGCAAAAATGAATTAAAACTTCGCTTCGTTGCATGGACTAATCGCTGTCGAGACTTAGTATATAAGTGGATGATGCCATGGAGTTCGAAGGCAACGGCAGTAGGTTCGAGTCGTAGAGTAGAAACTATTATTATTATTATTAGCCTTATTTAATATTAGATTTTTGGTACAATATAGAATTCTCAGCACAAAGTACTTCAACAAGTTTCCGTTTCTTACTTCTTCGTCCTTCCTGACGATAAACATTGAATGATCGCCAGTTAGAAGTTAGCAGTGCAGTCAATCGACATCTGAATAATGTGCATTCTTCTTGCTGAATATTGTCAGCAACCACGATATCTCTGATTAGGCCTTCTGTAACAAAATTAGATAACTTGTTGAAATATCTAGATGACAGGAACAGGTAGCCCAGATGTTTAAAGAGGTCGCCACATAATCAGTTCTGAGGAGCAGGCACATTCATTTGACGAGCTATAAATAGGACGGGGCGCTTGTCCTGGATTGCACTGTCACTCACCAACAGTATTTGCTGATTTTAAAGTTACTTATCAACCATATCCTTACACCTGATCATCAGTGTTTCACTTTCGAATTTCGATTTCCATGTCGAATGCAAAGATGAAGAGCGGCATAACTGATGTAGAGTAAAGGTGGATGACAGATTTTGTGAATGTTATTTGACAATATTACAAGTTGAAGAGAAATGAAACCATTATTAAACCTTAGTCATATTGGTCCCAAAAGAATTCTTTTATAAGATCATCAGAAGCCAAGAAGATCCTCAGAACATTGTGCCTAATCAGCTCACATCATATAGAATAATGACACTACATCTAAAGGAGATCCATCGTGAGAATCTCTCAATCACCGTCAGATTTTTGATCTTCTATTCTAGTTTCGCTTATAATTACTGCTCAAATGTGACATGGTCAGTAAGGTGATGATAAGACATAGATATATTTACATTGAATAAACACTTTATAGAGCTAGATCATGCCCTTATTTCTTTCACCAGCGGATGGTAAGTTCACGTAATAAGGCTCGACTGCATATTTCTCCCACTTTCATGTGTATTTAACTATTCAGCTGCTCTTAAAAGAGAAACTGTATTGCACGTTGAACCAGGGAAACACATTACTTCATTTGTAAACATCACCTGTCCTGATAGGTCAAAGAAGAGAAGAAAGTAATATATACTCTGTTTTGTCGCATTTCGTAAACACTGACCATCATATCAATATAAATTTAACCTTACTAAATATTTATAGAACTAAATAATATCGCATCTCAAATTTTCACACTTTAGCTTTTGCAATCATCACAAGCTATCCCTGTGTACAGGTAAAGTTTGTTCAGTCTCTTAATTTAACATGACTGTTTTTCCTTGATCATATTTCTTGAAGCTTCAAATTCCATTCAATTCGTGCTTGATTAGTTTATTTAGAAGTTGCCTGATTTGTCTTACTCAATGGGCTTTTATACTCAGTCAGTAACATAACCTTATTCTCAGATGTGTTACAGTTTTTACAGCTTTTAAATAATCACCGTTCTGAAGAAAAACTAGTCAAAAATACCAACCACCATTTATGTGGAGTCGATTTTAGCCCCAAATGTAAGACTGATATATTAGTATAATGTCTAGATGAGAAACATGTGATGGCTAGTACTGCGCAAAACCCACATAGGTTATTCGTGATCAAATGAAGTTGACTAACTTGCCTTTACAATATCGCTTCTTTTTGCTCTATCCTCTTTGTTTCCCTCGCTTTGTTTCTCTGATTCCCTGTCTGGATCAATTAGTGTATGAAATATACGTTAGGGAAATTCATTCTTGAATTTGGCTCAGCCCATTGCGTTATTCTGGAACGCGAATTCAGTCAACAATTATATACGATGGTTGGCGGCATGTTCAATTCCTAACAATCATCAAACAATCTAACTGAAGTCACATTCAGAGTGTGGGTAGATGGTTGTCATCGAAAACTAATCGCACAGAAATATTTCTCTGTTCAACTTGTATTTCTAAAGCATTGTCGGATTATTATCACCTCTGTCTCCTCTACTATTCACCTATCATCTCTGGTAGATCCATTCATTGACCTACTGCTTGTACTTGATAGATGGGAAACACTGTTGCTCACGCGGTGCAAAGTTTGAACTAGGGAAACCGGCTCAATCAAAATTAAATGATTGGCAAAAAATACATCGTCTATTCAGGTTATCAGAACAGGTCATTCAAAATCAGATTATAAACACATCTAATACACACACTTATATACTAAAGTTAGACACATGTAAAGAACAGATAAGGAATTCTATGTGAGCGAAAGAATGCACAGTATAACTGTATATTTTACACGATGTTCACACTGAATATTCATATTGATTGAAAGACAATTGTTTTGAGTTACATATGTCCTTCAACAGTAGGGATGCTTTCTCACATTGCCATACTCGATGTTCACACAGGATAATGCAAATAATACGAACTTCACACTGGACGAATGCTTATACCTGTCATTTAGAATGAAATTCTCACTTGGTTTCTACAGCCGCATTATTCATAAATATTGTTACACTGGGAACTAATACGTCACTACTGTACTGAGTAGAATATCTAACCGAGAATAAATCCATTTTCAAAGTATCACATTAGGAATACATTTAATGCAGTTATATGTTGTTGTGCATAATACTGTAGAAAAGTGAACGCGTCTTCTTATTCAAACTTGTCGGTATCAAACTGTGACTGAATAATTACTTGCTACGTTTCTTTACGTGCCATGTTTCCGTAAGTTAATAGAGTATGACGAATATCAATAAGTTCGTT